ACTAATAAAGTCGTGGAACAGGTTGTTTGAAACTGTATTAAGCTGGCAGCCAAAATAAATTCGCAATTATACTCCAAATTAGTTTTGACATTGACCCGGCTTCTGAAGAATCGATTGCATTCTAAAAGATATCTCATACGTCGCAATTCGGGGAAGTCTCGCACTTGTCCCGCTTATGTCATCCGGCGAATTTCCCTACGGCGGAGTCTGTCACCTGCCATCGTCGATCGCTCAAGTGCTTTCGACTTCGCCTTCGACTTCAATTTCAATTCCAGCGCGTAATCCAACGGTAGCCAGTTGTTTTGGCCGTGTTTTTCATTTCATTTCGGCCGTGTGTTCAATTAACTTTCACTGCTCGCCGGCCACGCCTCGAGGCGCCCTTCTCAGCTTCTCAAATGGCTCAAATGGGCTTCATTGCACGCATTGCTTTCGATTAGCGGCTATCCGAAAATCAACAACATGGGCGGAGTCGGCGGGGCGTCGAGGGGTATTTTCGGGGTCAACACCTTCGATAGTGTCTCCGCATTCGGTGGGTTATTATCTAATCAGTTGGTAGTCGCCCGGCAGATTGATGGGCACTCGGCAGTTCAAGAGGCAAACAAGCCGTCAATACCCCGGGGTGATCTGCTGATCAGGGGCGTGGCTGGACTCGGGATCTGGAGAGGATCGAAAGTTTTGAATGATTATGGGCAATTATGCACTCATAACCGGAACGGTTTCTTTTGTTGTTCACATCACTGGCTCGCTTGATTAGGCCATTAAAAATCTGTTTAATTGTCGATTTTAATAATACATTTAATGTCTTCATTTTTATTTTATACTTTATTTCCCTGCTGTGCGCAGACAACAACAGAAATCAAGATATAACCAGCGTTAATGGCAGAAATCATTGATATTCGGTGCGCATTTCCCTGCAGCGAAATGCTTTTAATCAATTGAACACTTTCCCAGGCAACATATCATTTGGCCTACATACACGTATTGGCATAATCGGATTGCCTTGCGCTGCGACGTCTGGTTAATTAGCCACACATTTTGCCGCTCCGCCGTGAACTTTGCAGGAATGCGAGCTCAAATGCATCACACAAATAGCCGCAAACAAGGACTGGCTCTCGGTGGTGCTGGTGGTGCGGCAGTTGCAGTTGCAGTTACTGTTGCCACACGCCGGACGTGCGGCATTCTGTTTGCTCCCAGCACCACCTGCCATTCTTATCGACGACGCAGCCAGCCTCGGCACATTGGTGTGAATTGAAATATTACAAGTAATTCAGTTGGTAAATAAAATGAATTACTACTGTTTAAGAGCACCTTCATAAGATTACACGCATTTGTTCGAGGCATGTATCTGAAATGTGATGGCAAAGGAGAAGCAGGTCTGTATCTGCAACGCCGAATATTTTGCTTGCTGCATTGCACTCCTAGTCCCACTGTGCCACGCCTTCTTTCATCAGGACTTGGCTGCCATGGAAACTTTTGAGAGCCGCACCAACTTGGCATCGAGCCCAGCATCGAGCAGCTGATTATGCGCTGAACGAGTATGCTTTGTGTTTGATATGTCGTAAGCTTGTTTGTTTGCTCTGCAGCGTGCAGTGCGAAAGCTGTCGCATCCAGACCAGAGTCACTAGAAACCTGCATTCATGTTGCTGGATCTCCAACCTTCTGGTCAGCAGAAAATCATACTATAAATACCACATTATACAAATATAGTGCGCAAACACCGTTGGGTTCGCCTGTTAAAAAGACAGCGAAGTCAGTGGTTTCTATATCTGAGCTTGGAAAATTAGTAAATATGTGTTAAATTATAGGATTTAGGATCACACCGATTTAAGAACACCATCTTTTTTCTCCGTGCAGGCCGCGCTGTGCGAGTTCGGATAATGGGGCAGTAGATTGTGGGTTGCCCAAGAAGCGGCAGCCACATGCGAATTTTATTTTTTGCCCGGTTTTCGCATCTTTTGCCGTTGCTGTTCGCTTGTGTTGGCATTTGGGCGAAAGTGCAAACAGCAGCGCTCTCGAAATGTGCAAATAGCAGCCAGTGGGCTCCCAGGTCGCCATATGCCATCACAGAAATCACCCATCCTCCACCCGACATCCACATCCACATCCACATCCAGCACTTCCCACTATCATTTGGAGCACGCAACTGCGGTCTTTTCGGTCCTCCATGGTTGGTTTTCCGGCGGGGCGTGTGTTGGCACGGGGTGCCAAAATCAAATAACATTTGCCGTAATTACACAAGTACTCAACTATATTTATGCTTATTTATTTGCACACTCGCACACACAAGCTGCAGGCGATGTCTTTGGGAACTCCAATCCCGTGTCCCCACTTTTCCTGCCACACTTTTGCATACGCAAATATTTTATCATCCCAGGCCACTTCCGCACCTTTCGCCCAACAAATGCCCTTGCTGAGGTCCAAGTGCTCAGCACTTATATTGTTATATCTTTCTCAGGCCTGGTAAGCAGTCGCCAGCTTAATCAACTTGTGGGATACGATAACGGCTTGTCCAAAATACTCTGAGATCTTTTAGAGGGCACTCGGGTAAAGTCCGAGTATAGTGGTAATCCCCAACTCCACTAGCTACCAGCTGGAAATGAGATTCGGAACAGAGGCCAACTCGCAATCAGCAAGGTCAGTGTATGCAAATTTCGCAGTGCCTGCATCCATGGGCTGTGGCATGCCCCAATCTGGCCCCCTTGCCCCGTTCCACACTCTAAATTCGAAATACCAAGTCCCCATCACCCACGGATATCTCGACACGCTTTCCCAGCTACTGTTTTGTGGGTCTACCTGCTGTGTGTTTAGACTTGGTCTTGGTCTAGGTCTTCGTAGGTAGCCCCCGAATCCACTCGTGTTTGGCCGTGGCCACAGCGCATAATTGAAGTGCAAATACCGAGAGATGTTCCGGCTGCACTTGCAACACCGAGCGAGATTCAAAAGGAAGCATAAGCAGTTGATGCTCATATTTTTGTGCCCCTGGTTGCCCAACCCGAATTAACTCAAGACCCAGCCCATGATGCAATTGCCTGCAATGGGCCACTTAACACTTGGGCGCGATCGGACCAACAAGAAAATCAGGGGTTGCATAAACGAGGCACTGCTGATCTGCCGATGTCCGGGATGGGACCTGAATAAATAAGCCAAGTCCGAGCTGGGAAAGAGGCTAAGCCGAAAGAAAAACGAAAGATTTGCTTGTTAGATGTTTATCCGGCGGCCAGCCCCCTCCTCATTTTGCTTGTTTGTTGTTTAATTGGTCAAGAGAAAAGCGCTGGTAATCAGCGGAGCAGCTCCCTAACGATAATGGGGAAAAGAGTCTGGGTGCGGCATTTCATAACTCCGAGTAAGTGAACTGCAAGATGTTACAACTGGCTAGGCATAAAAAACTTAATGCCCACATTAATTCAGAAGTATATTATGTTTTTCGAAAAGTGGATACGTAAACAGATGGATCTTGGGATTGATTTCACACACTATATATAATGGTACACTTTCACATACTAAGTAAAGGTTATTCTGTGGTTTTGCCTGCCCATCGATTGTGCGACGGAGTTTTGCATAATTTTATTGGCGCCACAAGGGGGGCAAACAATTAAAAGCCCAACAAAATATTGCCCCCGGCGGTGGCAGGAGAAACATGGCAACAACATTGATGACAATGACAACACCGCTCGTTGGTCAATTTCATTGTGTTGACTTTGTAATGGCAGCAGCAGCGAACAACGCGCAATAAATAACAAACAAATCAGGCAACAATGGTGGACAAATAAAATTATTTAGTCGCCGGCCGTAATCATTTTTGCTGGCCTGCAATCGCGCAGATACTCGAGAGCTCCTCCAAATTTTGCCAAATCAATTTTGAGTTCCTCCATGTTGGCCAATCCACATCCGCTTGTCTCCTGGACGGGATTAGCAATGACAATAACAATTAAACTGCGTAGTCTTCCGGGAAAAGTGGGGAAAATGGCGCCGGACCGTCGAATTGCTTCTTGTTGTCGCCGAACCGCGAGCCCTGGGTGCTCCACTGCCGGCCACAAGTAATCGCGGAGGCTTTTCGCAGCTCCGACATGCACTCACCTAGAAATCAGACATGGAATATCGGTGCTAAACGACTATATATAAAAAAATTATTAATTAGACGCCCGGCATGTTGATGTTGGCCAACAGTGTGCTATCAACAGTGGGATGTGTGCTGTTAGGCGCAAAGTGGTTGCTGTTCTTTTGTTGTTTTGCTGTTTTGCTTACCCACAGTGATGCCCGCCAGGCTGTTTTCCAGCCGGCAATGGCTAGTTCTAGCTGCAGCTGTCGTTTCTTGGCTGTTTTCCAGCTAAGTGAGTACGTTTTGTACTGGCCCTTAATTAAATTACATTCTGTAAATTTAATAAAAACTCGTTGAATCGCTCCATAATTTCGCGCAGAGTCTGCCGCTCGCAATAACAACACTCTTGATCTGTTTTTGAAATAGCAACACTATGTTTAATCGACAGAGAATGTTACAAATGCAGCGGGTAAAAGTTCATCTAACATCGATTTACCGTTTGTCCTTGAGCGTTTTTTCTGCATTCTCCTCTTCCAGTTTTCGCCGCGATCATCGAAAAGCGCACGTGTTTTTTAATTGCGCGCCGCGAAGCGAAGTTGCTTGTATTTAGTATTGCTTAGATCGTGAAAAGGGTTATTAATTGGATAAAAGCGATTACCGGCATTGTGATGCGAAGCGTTTGGACGTTTTCCTTCCTAAATTCGCGTTAATTTTGCCTTTTCATTCGCGCGCGAAATGTGTTTGTATGTATGGAATCTGCATGCTAACATTCATGTTTACATATGTTTGTATGTTAATGTGTGTGCTACGCCAAATTATCTTCAACTTGATATTTTTTTATGGTGAAATATGTTTGAAAATACACATATTCTATATATTTATGTACATACATACATATGTATATGCGTATTCACATTTACATCGTACGTATGTATGAATGTGTGAAACCTCTAATATTATCAGCAGGATTCTCAATACGGGCATTTCAATATTCCCATTGATAAGGAATAATACCAGACAAAAGGCTTCTTTGCTTGTATCTATATTATATACTCACATTATCCACAAATAGTTTGGTTGTCTTGTTCTCGGTGAGTAACTCGATTTCTTGTTCGCTGATTTCAAATTCCCGCACCCAAAGGCAACGAAATTTAGCACAACTTTCTTTGTTATCGGTGGCCGTAAAGGCCCCCATGTGATGTCATATCCATGTGTATCTAGTATCTTGTATCTGGAGCGAATTTCTGTTTGTTGCTAAAATGTTGTACGACAATCAACGAGGAAACTTGGTAAACTTCAAGAAAGAAGAAGTTCCAGAGATGCGACTGAAAATTAGAAGTTGCAACGCAGAGTTCTATAAGCCTTGACTATACAAGACATTTACATACTATACTTTTTTAACAAATAATCCTTGGATCTTCAAGGCATTCTTTGACACTATTACTATTAGTTAGTCTCCATAGCTATCTGGGAAAATGTCATAGCCCACCTGGGCGAAACGATTCATATTTGCGAGCAGAACTCAGCTAAAACTGCCATTTGATTAGACTCAAAACAGGTCGAAAGAAGCAGTAACCTAGTACGAGTATCTAATATCTATTCCCTTTATAGTTGGCCAGTTCCCTTGGCAGATACTTGGATACTTGTATACTTGAACAGGGGTCCCCAGAGCCGGCAACTTACTGGCTTCCTTTCTCAAAGTAATTAAGCCGAGAAAGTATATCGTATCCATGAGATACCATGGCAACCCCATGCCGCAGTAACCGAGCTTTTGTATCTTTTGCAACTGGAGAGTTGCTCTCTTGACGCATTTGCATGCTTATTACTTATTCTTTATGCCGTTTGTTTGTTTGCTCTCATTTGGCCATTTCCCCCCAGCCCCCCGTCCCCAGGTTTTCCTGGATGCCAACCCCACCGCCCATTTTTGGTCCTGCTCCCGACTTTGACTGTGACTGCTCATCCTGGATTCGACTTCTCGTCTCTTGTCATAATTCCCAACATTTAACATGTTTCTCTTGTCCAAATTGTCAGAGTTGTCAACTTGTTTATTGCATTTCAGTTTGTCATATAAGCCAGAGCGATGTGGGTGCCGTTTTCCGGGAAAATGCGAATGGGAATGGGAATGGGCATGGGCATGGAAATGGGGCGGGGCTGGTCGGCAAAACACTTGGACGGACGACGAGCTAACGGCTCCCCAACGTTCCTAAAAGTTTTCATTGACGTTGATGAAGTTGTTGCTGCTGCTCTGCCTTTTGTGGCTTTTGCATTTTATAGAAACTGTCAAATAATAAAGCTAATTTGCATATTTTCCGCAGAGAAGCGTTGGCGTTTTCTTTCTCCGCACTCGGAAAAACTATGCGAGTGTGAGTCGCATTTCTCAGTTCTCAGTACTCAGTTCTCAGTTTATAGCTTATCTACAGCTGCAGGCATTCTGTATATTAAATGAATGCCCTGCATGGCTCAGAATTCGCCTTATTTTCCATGGCCCTAGTAATGAGCCCCACTGAGCGGAGATGGAATTAAATTAATTGGGGATACAATTTAATTACAGCTCTTTTCCGCCTGTTATTTCAACGCAATCTTTTTAATATCATATCATATGAGTTATCATATTATTTCCCCTAAATATTGGCACTTTTTACATTTTGTCTGCAAATAACTTGGGCAAATACAGCACAAACATAAGCAAACACATCAGTGGCACCATCAACACATTCGAGAAGAACTCCACAGAGCACAAATATTGGTTTTGTGTCCCAACATTGACGGCAACAGCAAAAGGCAGCTAGAGCAATAAAAATAGCACTAATAATATTAGTAAAAATAACAATGGTAGAGCGCTCGCTTGGCAACATATCTCTAATAAACAAAATATTCACGTTGTAATAATAAATTGCACACGACATGAAACATAATTAATGTGCATAGAGTTCTTTGACAGAAGTTAGTTCCTGTTTTTACAAAAACTATGTGCATTCTAAATTAGTGATTCTTATGGAAAGGTACGCCAAAATATTATTTCACAAACGCATAGTTTTGTTAATTGTGTTTCGATTTGAAAGTGAAACATTTCTAAAAACTGTGGCTTCATTCTCTGCAATGTTAGCTCTGGATTTTCAGTGTTTGCATTTTAGCTGGACAACATTCCGAAATGTGTAATACAATTTTAAAAGTTGAAGTTAGCTTGCAGAAACACCAGTTGTCGATTTTAAAGTGGCTCATTTGCGAAATTGAATGCTTTAATTCTGTAGAAATATGTGATTTTCGCACATATGAATTCCAAATTCCAAATTTCAGCGCTAGTTTACTAATCGCCACTCACACGGAAGTTCCGACTGTTACCATTGCATTTTGGCGGTGGCCAATTGGTTTTTAGCCGGCATATAAATCAAAGCGCCCACAAATAAATATTTTATACAAAACAAAATGGTTTTTCGATGGCCATTACATCGCCGTGCATTGTTTACGAGTGTAATTTGGCTTATGCCCGGCCCGACCATGCCCATTTTCCATGGCCCAAGTAGCCCAAGTGGCCCCTTTCACCATTTCTGAATTGGCCAGAAAGGAATTTCAGTTGCGGCATCCATTTTTGTGGTCAGTCGACAATGGGCGAGCACTCGCAGGTGGTAACAGGTAGGCAAACGAGGTGGCGCGTTGAAAGGGGGCGGGCGGTGCAGGTGCGGTAACTGGGCGTGGCGGCGCTTAATTGAGGTCACTCATCGCGGACTGGAAAGTGGTCGTCGCGGAAGAAGCAGAAGTGACCTCTTTACCTGCAAGACGAACACGAACTTCAAGATACTCATTCAAAACACAGAAAAAGGGGAGAGAGTGAGATAAATTCCAGCGAAACGAAAACCAATAAATGTGCCGTGAGCCGACAGGGAGAGGGAGAGAGATGGGGAGATGAGAGGTGCAGATGCCGATGACGCGCGTGGTAAAAGTAAGGCCTCCTCGGCGGTTACGTCACGTGTATCCATCAGATACGCGCTCGATCGCCAGCGCACAGTGGACCCAGCCAGTGCTAGTATAAAACTTGTTGTCAACATTTTTGGTGCGGCTCACGTACACACATCTCACTTACAACTAACAAATAATCTACTGCAATTTGTGTTTACTGTTTAACTACGTTGAAAGCTTTTTATTTAGATTATTTTCTCAACAGAAAACCACTGTAACTGGCAGTTGTCGCGTTGTTCTGTTGTTTTCTTCTTAGCTAAACTTACAAATTGAGATACACAGAATATGCGGAAGCGGATGGAAAAATAGCGCTATACAATTTCAAAGCATCCGTGTTGTATATAGGAAATATAATTAAAGCATACAGTCAAATATTAATCATTAATATGTTTACAGCCAAGCCAACTTCACATCTTTTTGCCCTACGAATTCAAAATTAGCCCATGTACATCGCCAGATACAGATACAAATTGTTCAGCTGACTGGCGTACATAGTAGGGTTTTTACCTTTCCCTCGCCGAAAATTGTGACACTGCGTGCGTGAGATCTAAATAGTGGGAGGCCCATCCATCTTGTTATCTACAAGTACGCATTTGTATCTCTATAGGGATGTATCTGCATCTGCATATCAACATCTGCAGCAGGTGATGACATCACTTGTGTAATTTTTTGTGTGTGTTTGGACAGACATGACAAGCGGATTTGCATCAAAAAACGTGCAACAAATTTACAAGATAATCAACGCAGAGCGACGGACGACAAGCACATAACGAGATACACGTACTGACAGATACTCAGATACTCAAGTCAGTTGCAAAGTGCAAATGGAAATCAACATTGAAATGAAAACGAAAATGAAAATGAACGCAAAGGGCAGTGGAAATGTACAATTCATATTTGTTTTCTTTTCTAAAGGGCTCCCATTTTATGCTCACTTTCATCAGCTGCATTTAAATTGCTCTTGGCCAGGCTTAAGCCGGGCTCAATTCACTGGTCAGAAGCAGCTGTAGCTGCCAGTTAATTAAATTAAATTACATTTGGGAGCCCTTCGGCAGTTTCGACCGACTTGCAAGGGACTGCTGCTTTCGCTGCTGCACCGAGATTATCGCTGGTGAAAGTAGTCGCGGATGGATCAGTATCTGTATCAGTATCTGTATCTGTAAGATCGGGATTTTGAGATAGAATGTGATTTCTGCACTCGCAATCCATTAGCATAATGGCCAAATATCCGAAGGTCTATTAGCAACTCGCACCCAATCAAAATGAAACACTTTTACTTTGCTTTCCGCGTTTCGCTTTAAGCGATTAACAATTCGAAACGAAACGAAACGAAACGAAACGAAACGAAATAAAAAACCCTTTCTGATCTTTGTTTTATGCACATAATTCGAAATTTATTTTATGTCTTATTAATTTTACATAAGCGACCGCTTCCGCGAGTCTGGGAAAATAACTTCGGGATGGGATGCTTCATCTGCTTCATGGCAGACGAAGCAATTAACAGTCCAAGATAAAGTGGAAAAGTAAAAGTTGAAAAGGCTGCAGCTGCAGGTGGCAAAAGTCCGCGTCTGAGTTTGTTTGATTTCGCTGCCGAGCGAAAGAAATGTGTCAGCAGCCAGAAATTTTCAAAATCGAAATTTGAATCTCAGTCTGAGTCTGAGTCTGACTGCGTGGGAGTTTGAGGCTGAGTTTTGCCAATCAAGCTGTCAGGCCAATCGAACCGAACAATAAAATAATATAAATACCCGTGCTTCGATTTGGTTCAGCACTGACTGGCGGCCCCCATAACTTTCGATGACTTTTTGGGCTTTGGTTTTTGGGGTCTCAGCTGGGAAGCTGGAAAGCTGAAATCATTTGCTTTGTTGTCGTGCTGCCTGAAGAGCCATCAAATCAAATTATATATGAATTTGTCACAAGTTGAAAGCGAAAGCCGCACCGATCGACCGACCGACAACTCTATAAAGGTTTCCTTTGTTGCAGTCGACAAACGGCAGTTCCCGCATCAGCATCAGCACTCGGCAGCCAAAACTCGACACTCGACACTCGCCATTCGCCACTCGACACTCGACACTCGATTCTTTATACTCGATACTCGGCTGTTGTCCCAGAGGATCTCCTTATAAGCTCATTCCAAATGTTGCGCAGTGTGAGCCACGTGCAACTGCTCCTTCTGATGGCAATCGTTTTGGTGGCGGCAAAACAGGACAGTTCAAGTAAGTGAGCTGCCGAAACTTGAAGATACTTCAACAATAGGCCATAGAATTGGATATTCATTTGGGGAAGATACTGCTCATAGTCAAATGCAAGAATAACAAATCAAAATATATGACCCGACTCGACAAGTAAACAAACTACTTCTGGAAATTTCTGTTTCAGCGCGTCAATTCGGTGGCCAGAACTTTGGCAACGGCCTGGCTCCCTCCTTCGGTCCAGGGCCTGGGGCCGGCGGGTTTGGACCTGGACCCGGAGCGGGAGCGGGAGCGGGAGCAGCCGGATATCCGGGACAGGGCGGCTACGGACCACCGCAGCAGCCGGGCTGCCCGCTGTGCGACTCGTCGGTTTACTCGTACTGCTCGCACAAGATGGTACACGATGCCTGTTGCTGCGATTTTGCAGGTAATTAATCAAGGGCTTGGGGGCGAAAGCCGCCGGCGACATTATTTATGCCCGCTCTTTAATCGCCTGCATTTATTAATTTAATTCAATTTGACGCCGGCCATAATGCGCTTTAACCCGCAGGCGGTGCCCCCCAGTTGAGACCACCCCAGTGTTTGTACTACGACTGCTCGCTGCTGTATGCCAAATCCTGTTACGAGCACGCCCTCATCAAGAACTGCTGCTGCAATAATCCCTACTGATGCGCCCAATTATCGGAAAAATCGGGAAATATTGGAAATGCGAAATTGGAAATGGAGCATGCGGAGCGCCGAGTGATTTGTTTGCACTTTTGCTTCATTTATTTATTCAATGCATTTAAAATGTGTGCGCATTTCAATCAAGCTTGTGCAATTGCAATTGCTTGAGCGCGCCAAATTAAATTAAGTATTTTGCTGTAGTTAGCCATCATGTAAAATATATTTACGCAATAGTTACAATTTAAATAACCATAACACCATTCTTCTCGGGGAAAACTTGCTTCGACCTTTTCTAAGCCGCAAATTAAATACTTTCTGCACTGCATTTGCCCACTAGGAGGCTAACTTGTCCGCCGGATTATTCGGCATTAATAATGTGTTCAATTAATTCACGGCTTTTGTTTTCATTTCACCTACTCGCTGCCTCATTTATCAATGGTCGTGATTCGCTCCACTCGGCGTTATTAGCATAATGAATGTTTTCTCCCCAGATTAATTGATTTTTAATACGCAGCCATAATCGGCGCACAACTACGCATCTACTACGGATTTTCTGTGTTTTTCATTATCTAATCCCAAATTATGTGGCTTAATAAATTATTTACGAGAAGATCACATGTATATTTTAACATGAAACTGCGGCCATAAAGAATACAACTTTCCATTTACACGCACATTTAAATCTAAATTAATTAGTTTGAGCACAAACACGTCCAATCGTAAATAAATAAGGCCCAACAAATGCCTAACCAAATAAACAAAATGCGATCATTTTTCTCCTCCTGCTACCCCCTGCTAATCTTAACATTTCGTTGGCGATTATTGGACGAAAGAAAGCAAAAAAAAATTAAATAAAAAACCACATTGAGAAGACAGCAACAACGCGCCCAAACTTCTCTGGATTCCGCGCTTTCTTCAGTGCCTTTCCATAAATCTAAAATTATAAAAATCTCTCGTAATCTGGCAACAACAACTGCAAAATTCAAATCCAAGGCGCGCCAGCATATTAGCATATTACATAAGAATTTTCACTTTCATTTAGTATGAGTAGGATCCACTCCCCTCGATTCCATTCCATTTGAGCCCAGCCGAGTTCAGATGAGATGACGAAGTCACCGAGTTGAGACCCCTCTCGGCGAATACTTTTTGCTTGATTAGCATAAATCTCTATATTAAGTGGCTCGCCTTGCCCCCCTCCACATAAATACTTCTTTCTTTTCTTTTTTATTTGTGATTTTTGGGTGGGGGCCGTCCGACTGACAGGCGGCAAGGCCGTTGCCGTTTGCGGATGGAGAAAGCTCGTACCCTGTACCCTGTATTAGGGCATTACGAAATGAGTCCACTGGCGGCTGTTTATTAAATATTTATGAAACTGATTTATACCATGTCGCCGCTAATCTGGTTATTTCCGTGATACATCGGCCAATTTGCTTCAATTTGATTACGCTGACTAAAGAGTTCGATCCGGGTTTCACTTCGATTGCGGTCAAGGGGTAACTTGAAACCTTTCCCAGAATTCATTTCCATACATGCTGTGGCTCCTGGGAAGGGCTTTCCCGGCTTCGGCTTTGCCCTGACCAGATTCCAGCCTCTTAGCCAGATTGGCGCAACAATTGGCCGGGCAATCGAGCGAGTGGCCACGCCCAAACACTTGCCGCATTGACAGTTATTGGGCGAAACAAAGTGTACTTTTTCTGGCCAGCTCGCAGGACGATGGCTGATTGGAGAGGGCCGAGACGAAGGACATGGCAGGCAACCGAGATAATCACAAAAGTTTTGTAATAATTTCAATTTTTTCCGGCCACTTCTTCGCCTTCATCTGCGGTTCGGTTCGGTGCGGCTTGCTTATTTTTTGTCGACTGGATTTTGCTTGCCGTTTGCACTTTTCTAACAATTTCGCTTGAAATGAAACCTTTAATGGATTTCAAAAGAAAAATTTATTTTGACAATGACAATGAATTTTCCCTGCTTTTCGCCGCTCTTACACATTTCATTTTATTTATTCATCTTTAGGACCTTTTGTTGTTGCTTTTTGTGCTATTTTTTTTGCTATATTTTTTATTGCCTTTCCAAAAGTTTTTAATGAGCGCGCGTTGAAATTTTATCTTCCAGCTCAACCCTCTACGATTTTCCTTTTTTTCCGGCTTTTCCGGCTTTTCCTCCTCCCCGACACCCTTGACACCCCTCCCGCCGCTCTTTAGTTTCAGTTTGGTTTCATTTCGGATCCCTGCTGCCTTTGTCTTTATGAAGTAAAAACTCGGGACACGTTTACTTCATCAAATGCGCTTAATTAGAATTAGCATCGGAATGTGCCTCTGCTAAGGAATTCGCCTCCGTTCTGTGGAAAACAGCCAGAAGTCCCAAAAAAATCAACGGTTTCGACATTGAACTATGTCCAACTGACAATCGGGAGTGGGGCTCCCAGGCAGGTGAAACCTCTTTTCCGGCCAAGCGGAAAAAATTGCACGAATTTTCCGAAAGTGCCAAATGGACTGGGGCAGCGATATCCTGGGGCGCGAAAATTGTAGATTGCTGCGCCCAACTGTAAAGGCAACTGATTTGCACAGGCTTCTGATGCAGAAAATGCCTTGAACATTTGTTGCGTAAAACTGTGGAAAGATCCCTTCCAAAATTGGTAACTTATACCAGTTTTATTTTTTTCGGTCAGATTTGAATTTAAAGTAATAAAATACATTTATCAAATACGAACAATCTTTCATCATTTTTCTCACATTTCATTTTTACCAGAACTTTGAATTCTGTGCATTAATTAGACTGGGAATACTGAAATATACTTTTTAATGATTACGCACAAAAACCTGCTGCTAAGGAAAAAAAGCAATCATTGTCTGTATTAATTAAATGTGGCTTAAAACAGACATATTCCAATTGGTAGGTTTTATTTGCGTTTCACAATTTATGAGCTATTGTAACGGATATTTAGCTGACACGTTTGCTTACCGAAATGCGATAAGTTCGAGTTCACAAATGTAGAAAATTTAATTAAAAAATGTGCGGTTAATTAATAAATACAATTTTTATACCCCTTACTCGTAGAGTGAAAGGGTATACTAGTTTCGTTACCGACTTCTACCGATGTGCCAGAAAATATTGCAATTTCTCGCTTGCACTTCCACTGGCTGAGTAGTAACGGGTATCTGGTAGTCGGGAAACTCGACTATAGCATGCTATATTGTTTAATTTATATTCAGCAACTTTATCTCTATAATGAGTAGCAACTACCGTGGCATATGAGTACATTTTACAGCCGCACCATGGGCCATTATGCGTCTTGCCAGACTCCAAAGACTTGGCGTCCCATTTCCCCGATTTCCGAGGAAGGCTTAACTTTTCGCCATGCTTTCTCCGCCGATTTGAGGGAAGTACATCGGCCATCGTAATCACCGCAAAAGGTGTTATGCAATACCGTGGGGCACGCACTCAGCCGAAAAGCAAATAAATATTTGAAAACAAATTATGCTTTCGGCACTCGAAATTTACAAAGAGTCGCCAACGGGCGGATGGGAAATGGTCGACAATAAGTTCCCATTAACTGGATGATTATTTAGACGTATACAAACATAATTAGCGACGCAGCTCATTAAAAAGATCGCGTGAAGGATGCGGCATCGAAATGGCGATGATGCTGTTGGTTTCGTGTCCATTTCTCACTTTCGGTAAATTAAATTCGCATAAGCAAAATCAGCAAGAAAAACGATACCGAACTGAAACTGAAACCGAAACCGAAACCGAAACAAAACGGGCAAAACAAACCAAAACGCTTTCAATGGCCCATGACAAGAAAAAAAACGGAGGGAAGCGGGGGAAAATTACCAGCACTGAGAAAAACGTGTTTTTTCATTTCCAGTGTTCAAGCTCATAAAATAATACGCGGAATTTCGGTTGATTAGACACAAGACATTGCTTATAGAGTTTCAATCGGTTTGGTGTAAACTATAGAACTCGGTTTTACTCGCAGTGTGCAGAGAAATGGGACCACATTAAAATGGCAAGAAAAAGCGGCAAAAACTTTGAGGTGCTGGTGAGTTTGGGGGGTCATTTAAAGCTGGCCATAACCACTTTCAATCGCGCCAAGTCATCAAAATTTGCCAGCGACCACGATGATAATAATGACGAAACAGTTGACGACGCGAGTGGCACGACAATGTAATGATGCTGAAAAAGTTTTGAATGAATCATAAAACTAACAATTGAATACAAATCACGCGGAAAAGTAATCGGAGGAACTGACGCAATTAAAATCAAAACAAAACATCATTTTTGGACCTTTTTCCGCACTTGCCTCACATGTAAACTGACCCACGAGTATTTGGCCTGTTTAATTCGATATTATAGCTCTAAAGCTCCAAGGAATCCCCATTAAGTGCTCTCCTTTCGCCTAACAACATAAATGCCAGCGTTTAGGAATCAACCTTGCACAATTATGATTCACATTGGCCGAAAGACCAAAAACACAAAGGACACCAGCGCCCCACTGAAAGGTTGGGTAAACAGGGTATCCTCTGTCCGGAGGTGCATTAAACTCCCAATAACAATGAGCTGAGAGACAGATCAACTGTCTGGGGCTCGGGTAGCCGGGTCCTGGAGGGAAGTCCTGCCTAAGTGGGTGCACATGTCGCTGTCTCTTTCTGTGTCGCAGCATGTGCGGAAGTGGAAATCCTGCCAGTATCTGCTGGACTTTGAGATACTCAGAGGAGGCGGTGGTGAGTGAGTGGTTTCTTACCTTGCAGAACATATAAAATATAAGCAGAGCTCGACGAATGCCTGTATTTTGCATTAATCTGTGCAATTAAATGTTGCAGTATATGGCTTAAATACTGTACCAGCAGTCTAAGATACTTTGCCTTCTTGCTGAAGAGAGAGTATCTCTAGCATTCCGTTGGCTTTGTTAGCTGCAATTGTTTTGACCCAAACGAAACAACAACTAAAGCCATAGTTGTAGATACTTTTTCGCTATGTTCATTGTCTGTTTTTTGCCATTCTTCCTCCATTTTTTCGGGACAGGGCCAATGGGTGATGGTGATGGTGCGGGCGGTGGT